GATTCACTGTGGGGTGGCGTGGCCCGTCTGGGCTACTTGCACACTGCCAGGCTTGTGGTGCTGGGGATCTGGCGTATTAGCTGGGGTGGATCCGCAAGGTGCACGGGGGCAGGAGGGGCAGGCTCAGCTGGCTTTTCCTTCGGAGATCCGCTTCAGGAGGGGCCCCTCTTCTGTGGGCCTCTTGTCTACGCTTGCCTCTGGAGAATCCGTTCTGCTAGTCTTCTGGCGATTTTCTGGGTTATTTAGGCAGGTGTGGGTGGAATCTAAGTGATCCGCAGGACACGTTGACCTCAGCGTCCTCCTACACCGCCATCTTCCTATCATTAACTTTTTAAAGCTAGAAGTTAAGGGGCACCTGGCTGGCTTAGTCAGTGGAACATGCAACTCTTGATCTTGGGGTTGTGAGTTCGAGCCCCACATTGGGTGTAGGGTTTACTTTAAAATTTTTTTAGGGGCGCCTGGGTGGCGCAGTCGGTTAAGCGTCCGACTTCAGCCAGGTCACGATCTCGCGGTCCGTGAGTTCGAGCCCCGCGTCAGGCTCTGGGCTGATGGCTCAGAGCCTGGAGCCTGTTTCCGATTCTGTGTCTCCCTCTCTCTCTGCTCCTCCCCCGTTCATGCTCTGTCTCTCTCTGTCCCAAAAATAAATAAACGTTGAAAAAAAAAAAAAAATTTAAAAAAAATTTTTTTAAAAAATAAGGTTATAAATTAAAAATTAAAGTTATTGATACTATACTATTTCCTATATGTTTTATTTTCAGTGATTGCCAGGTAAATATATGCATAAAGAACATTTCTCAATCATCTTCACATTTTTTCATAATTTCTCAATCGTAATTTTTTCCTCAACATTACTCTATTTTAAAAGATGAATGGACTTTATCCTAGAAGCAAACAAAAGAATCAAAAGCTCTTCTTAGCTAATGCTCAGTGATTTCCAGTGTCTCCTATCCATGAACCAAAGTGAACATTTAATATTTTATTGTAGTGTATCATAGCTGAACTCTGTGACATTGAAGAGGTGAAACTAACTTAATTCTCTGTTTAGGAATATGAAACTCAGATAGAGAAGGATATCCCCATTTCAGATGTCAATTCTATTACTGCACAACGGATTAATTCTGCCAATTTTCTGAAAAAGGTAACAATGGCAAAATAGTATCATTCATATGTTTGCATTCACTTTTGTGAAATCCTCCTAATCTCCTTTTCCATTCATTGCTTGCAAAAATTAGGAGTGAAAAATAGTGGCACCATTACCATTGTAAATACTTAATCTTCAAATAGAAACTGTTATTTCTTTAAATTAAATTTATTTTTTTGTAGATGAAAAAGTTGATAATGAGAAGAATTGTCAAAGTTAGCAAAGTTAACTTATCGGATGTTGTGGCTGATTATGAAGAAATTGTATCTGCAAGGTAAATAGTAAAAATTATTATTTAAATATGAAATATAAAACTGTAAGATAATGCCTTCAAATTTCTCTATGTTCTCTGTTCTAATATTAAGTTACATGCAAAGGATGCATTTACAAAGCTTAAAGTGAAATATAGTGACTTAAAATATATTATTAATTTTTTTAATGTTTATTTATTTTTGAGAGAGAGACAGAGTGTGAGCCGGGGGAGGAGCAGAGAGAGGGGGGGACACAGAATCCAAAACAGGCTCCAGGCTCTGAGCTATCAGCACAGAGCCTGATGTGGAGCTCTAACCCACGGATCACGAGATCATGACCTGAGCCAAAGTTGGATGCTTAACCAGCTGAGCCACCCAGGCGCCCCATTTTGTTATTTTTTTTAATTAGGTTTGTTTTTTTTTTTTTTTTTTTTTTTTGGTTATTTAAAATTGCACTTTGGACATATCTATATGATATGTATTTTCAATTGCATAGCATTTTAATTTTTTTTAATGTTTATTTTTTGAGAGAAAGCACAAGCCGGGGAGGGGCAGAGAGAGACACACACACACACAATCTGAAGGGGGCTCTAGGCTCTGAGGTGTCAGCACAGAGCCCGTTGTGGGGCTTGAACCCAACAGCCATGAGACCATGACCTGAGCCGTAATTGGACGCTTTAGCTGACTGAGCCACCCAGGTGCCCCGGTAGTATTTCAGTTTTTAACCCTCTCCTTATTGATCGTTTTTAGGCGAGAAAGAAAAAGAAAAGAAATACCTTTGTCCCAAATTAGTTTTGTCCTAAGATTTTCCTGTCCTGGAACTGCTACTAGAAAAGTCACTGCTGGCAGCACCACACATTAAGCCTACAATCTCCCCCTTTCAAAACTGAATCCTCAACCATACATGGGTGCTGTGATCCACAGACAGCAGTTGGGGGAGCCTTTGGCTGAACTCAATTCTTATATCATTCTGTCTCTGAAACTTAGCGGTGGGACCGGGACTATGCATGCCATGTTTCTGGGAACCCTCCCTGGGGCCACATGCAGATTCCTAATGTTACTAATAAGGCTTTAAATTGGTTTGGATGCAGAAATCTATTGTATTTTATTTTCATTTTGGGGGGGGGGAATGCGTGTGGCCATAAAGCTATAATTACATGGATTTGTGTTGGCAGCCTGTGTAACTAACTCCTGTCTCAAAGCCATGCAGAAAAGTTGAGTGTCTAACCACTTTCAAGAGAGCAATTCCTGAAAAATGAATAATATTCTGAAAGAACATCATGTTTTGTGGAATTACCTCTCCTTGTCTTTTCTTGGACCATGTACCCAAAGGGCATGGAGCAATCACATTTTCTCATAACATGACAGTGAGCATAGCATCTCTTCTATGCTCCAAAAAAGCTTCTTTCCTTTGGTTTAAGACAACTCTGTATCCGCTCCACAATGGAGAACATATAGGTTCAGAATAATGGCCTTATTTACAATAGTTAACTTTAAAAATTGATGTCTTTTAAAATAATCTTGTATATATGCGGATGATCACTTTTTTACTCTTTAGCCAGTTGACATATGCAGTTTGTAAGCTTGTTGAACGACAAAGAAAGTTAAAGCCTCAGAGGAAAGAAAGGAGAAAGGTGGCCGCACAGACTATCTGTGATGGAGATATTAAGATTCTTGTTAGAATACTGCGGGCTTATAATATTCCTACCAGAAACACAACAGTTAATAGGTAAGACAGTGTGCACCAGTTTTTACAGTTGCAAAAGCTCTGTCTTAAATATAATTTCCAAACTGTCCTATGTGTAAAACTCTGCACTTTATTAATGCTCCATATACAGAAATGGAATGAAAGCTGAAGTCTTCATTTGGATAGTCATACTGTCATTGCCATGTCTTAAGAGTTTTCAGAAGTTTGAGATGCACAAAGTAACTTCAGCATGTGTATTTTGGGGTGACATATCAAATAAATACCTTTGTCCCTATTCCCTGTTGTGGAAACTTGTGATGCTGCTCTTGCCAAGTGCACTGTTCTCTGCCCCTCTTAGTTTTGAAAGTAGGCTCTGTCTGGGACTTGTCATTTTGGTTGACCTCTGCAAAAATCAGATCTTACCCAACTCTTCTGCAGGCACTCTCTGTGTTTTATTTATGTTTCTTGAGCCAAGGATATGTGGGGCCAGAATAGACATTGCCATTTAGTGGCCAAATTAAGGCATCGTGAATATTAAATGCTCATGTATATTTAGTGTATCCTGAATATTGAGTGTCTTATATATTTAGTCTCATGTATGAATCGTATATTATGGATATTTAGAACCCAGGTATTTCAGGAATATTAAGTATCCCTTCCTATGTTTAACACCTATGTGCTCTTTTTGTCTTATGTTAACCACATCCCATGATTTCTACTTGTGAAAAAATATTTTGCTTACTAGGTACTAATCTATAGATTATCTATAAAACCTAATTTATAAAACCTCTCAAAAGCTTTTCCTATGTTTTATAAACTACATCCTTATTTATCTAATAGAACTGATGTTCTCAAAACAAATGCACATTTCAAAGGCTAACTTTCATGAAATAAGGACATCATAAAATCACCACCATTTTCTGTAATCATCAATTTGTAAAAGACAGAATATTGTAATACCTAAAACAGGAAGGATATAATCTCCATGTATCGCTTACCTTATTTTTCTCCTTTGCAAAGTCCAGTGAAAACTTATCACAAACTGGATCCAATACATAGTTCCGCACTTAGGAGCTAGTCTTCCAGAATAGTGATTATCAAATGTTTAGCTCTAACCACCTATGATAAGAAGATACAAAGCAAATTTTCAGATCCAGGGTAACTGAATTCTTTATCTCCATGAACATAGGCAAAACGCTACTGATTCCCACCAACACTAATGTTAAAATTACTTAAAGTGTTTACCTCTAGGGGCACCTGGGTGGCGCAGTCGGTTAAGCGTCCGACTTCAGCCAGGTCACGATCTCGCGCTCCGTGAGTTCGAGCCCCGCGTCAGGCTCTGGGCTGATGGCTCGGAGCCTGGAGCCTGTTTCCGATTCTGTGTCTCCCTCTCTCTCTGCCCCTCCCCCGTTCATGCTCTGTCTCTCTCTGTCCCAAAAATAAATAAAAACGTTGAAAAAAAAAATTAAAAAAAAAAAAGTGTTTACCTCTAACTCGTTTTTCCTGAAGAGCCTTGGATCTGCCCACTTATTTGGTATCATCCGTATCTCACCTCACACATAAGGAAACAGTCAAATCAATATCTTCAGATGAGATCTTAAATGAGGTAAGTATTTAATAACACTTCTATAAAGTTCAATTTTGATTATGTATGCCCTGAATTGTGACTGGCTGCTATCTGGCCTCTCCATCTCTAGCGTCTTGAGCTTCCAGTTGACTTTCTATAACACAATGAACGTGCTCTTTATAAAATGTAATCCTAACCAATTCATTCCATGCTCCCCTGCTCTCAGGGCCTACAGAATAAGGTACAAGCTCCTTTAGAATACCTGCAAAAATCTGTGATGATCTGGCCCTTACCTACAAATCAGCCACATCACTCTCCACCCCACGACAGTATCATATCATATCATATCATATCATATCATATCATATCATACTTCTACTTCTAGAAGGTCTCTTGCCCTTTCCTTTACCTGGAATGGCCTCCACACAGCTCCATGTTATTGACCACATGAAACTTCCTTCTTAACATTTCAGAGCTCAAACATGTTTTCTCTGTGAAGCTCTCCTTTTCCTTACCCCAGAAAATTAATCATTGGCCTTCCTGAGTAACTATTCTACCTTGAATATATTTCTTTTATTTTTCACATTTCATTGCAATTTTATTTGTTTACCTGTTTAACTTCCCCTGACAGGCTATACAATCCTTGAAGGTAAGTTCCATTTATGTTTTGATCCTAGAAAAGTACCTGATATTGAATAGGACCAATAAATATTTATTAAATGAATGAACCACTACTGGCTGTTTGAAAACCTGGAAAAAGTAAGCCATCCAGTTGTCAGTCAGTAACCAAGTAATGTCCTAGCCTTCTCCCTCTTACCAGCTTTATAAAATATTTCAAAAATCTAGTCAGTGTTTATTATGTGTTTCAGGGTACTATATACCCTTTTGTGGAAGTTTCCTTTCAACACACTGTATACCGAACCAGTACTGCAAGTGGATCTCATCCATGCTGGAACGAAGAAATTAAAGTAGATTTTATGTAGGTTGGAATCTATTTCTCTTCAGCTTCTAAAAACGAGCAATAACAAAATTGTTTTCTTACGCCATTTATCGAAAATAATGATTGAGATATGATTTATTTTTTAAGCTTTTAAATTATGAAATATTTCTTAGATAGGCATGAATATATATGCAAATGTAAGTTCTGAGGAAAAATGATAGTATGAATACCCATGTATTGGCCATCCAGCTTAAATAGAATATGACCATTACCTTTGAAGGCCAGGACCTCATCGTATTCCCTCTCCTTCCCCCTGGAGGTAACAACCACTAATCTGTGTTAACATTCCCTCTCTTTATGATTTTATATCATTAATATTTATCCCTAACTATGTATTATTTACTTGTGGATGTTTATATAAATTGAATCGTCTTTTGCAATCTTGTTTATTTGCTCTCAGTTATTTTGAGAGATTCATCTGTGTTCATACTCCTAACTTTCCTCTCTCCTCCTTCCTCCCTTCTATTTTCTTTCTTTCTTTCTTTGCTACCTCTTCTCCCCTCTCCTCTTTTCTTTCCTTCCTTCTTTTATTTTCATTTCTAGATAGTATCCTACTGGACTAAAATGCCATAATTTTTTCTACTTTTTCCTGGTGATACACATTTTTCTTGTTTTAGGCTTTTTCTATTGCGAGTAATGTTGCTCTGAACATTCTTGTACTTGTCTTCTGGAGCACACATGCAAGAGTTTCTTTTTAAGACAGTAGTGCTCAAACGTTTTTGTGCCTTAGAATCACCTGTATGGCTTCTTAAACCATTGCTGGGCCCCACCTTCATAGCTTCTAATTCAGTAGGTCTGGGGTAGGTCTTGATGATTCCACTTCCAACAAGTTCCCAGGTGTTACTGATGCTACTTAGTGAGGAGATACTTTGAGAAACTCTGCTCTAGGATATATGTCCAGGAGTAGAATTGCTAGGTTATAGTTGAATTCAGCTTCAGCTTTACTAGATAATACCAAACTGTTTTCTAGTGACTGTACCAATATACACTCCCAATAGCAATATACAAAAGTTCTATTGTGTGTCGTATCTTCAATAATATTTTGTACTTTTAAAATTATGTTTTCCAATATGATAGATCTAAAATGATATTATCATTGTGGTTTAAATTACATTCCCTGGGGGCGCCTGGGTGGCACAGTCGGTTAAGCGTCCGACTTCAGCCAGGTCACGATCTCGCGGTCCGTGAGTTCGAGCCCCGCGTCAGGCTCTGGGCTGATGGCTCAGAGCCTGGAGCCTGTTTCCGATTCTGTGTCTCCCTCTCTCTCTGCCCCTCCCCCGTTCATGTTCTGTCTCTCTGTCCCAAAAATAAATAAAAAACGTTGAAAAAAAAAATTTTTTTTTTTAAAATTACATTCCCTGTTTTCTAATGAGATTGAGTTTTTTCCCCATTAAAAAAAAATCAATAGACTACTTTTTAGAGCAGTTTTAGGCTCACAGTAAACTTGAGTAGAAAGTGCAGAGAGTTCTCATATACACCCTTCCCACAATACACACACATACAGCTTCCCTCAGCATCAGTGTGGTATGTTTGTTACAATCCATGAACCAATGTTGACACATTATCAACCATTACTTGAGAGTTCACTCTCATGCTGTGCATTTTATGGGTTTTGGCAAATGTATAAGGACATGAACCCACCACTATAATATCATACAGCATTGTGTTACTGCCCTAAAAATATTCTCTGTTTCATCTATTCATCCCTTCATCCTTCCCCTGGGACCTCTAGCAACCACTGACATTTTTACTGCCTCCATAGCTTTTTCCCTTTTCCAGAATGTCATTGCATTAACCTATGGGTAGGCCTTATCCAATCAGCTGAAGGCTTAACAGGAAAAAGACTTACCTCCCCCTAGGGAGACTCAAACTGCAACTCTTCCCTGGGCCTCCAGCCTGCTGGTCTACCCTGCAGATTTTGGACTTGCATACCCCCCAATCACGTGAGTCAGCACTACAGAAGGTAATTTGCTTTACTCAAGGTCTACTAATTTTTTTTTAATGTAGAAATAACACTTCACATGAATCCTACCCCGTTAACCTTTAAAGTGTGCAGTATATTACTGTTGGCTGTAGGTACAATGTTGCACAGCAGATCTTTAGAACTTACTCGTCTTGCTTAACTGAAACTTAATGCCTATTGATTAGTAACTCCCCATTTGCCTCTCCCAGGCCCTGGCAACTAACATTCCACTCTTTGATTTTTTGAAGTTGACTGTTTTAGATGTCTCATATAAGTGGAATTATTCAGTACTTGTCTTTTGGTGACTGGTTTATTGGTTTCTTTTAGTTAGCATAAGGTCCTCAAGGTTCATCCATGTTGTCGCATATTGCAGAATTTCCTTATTTTTTAAGGGTGAGTAGTATTTATTTCATTGTGTGTGTTGCACATTAGCTTTATCCATTCATCTGTCAACAGACATTTAGGATATTTTCATATCTTGACTATTGTCTGCGCTACAATAAACATAAGAGTGCTAACATCTCTTTGAGATCCTGATTCAGTTCTTTTGGATAGATGCCCAGAAATGGGATTGCTAGATCAGATGGCAAATCTGTTTTTAATTTTTTTGAAGAACCTCCATACTGTTTTCCATAGCAGCTGCATTGTTTTGCATTCCTACTGGCAGCGTGCAAGGATTCCAGCTTTCCACATCTTTACTAACACTTGTCATCTTTCCGTTTTGTTAAAAACAAAGCCAAAAAATTTGTCCAGGTGTGAGGTGGTATCTCATTGCTGTTTTGATTTGCATTTCCCTGATTATTAGTGAGCATTTTATTATTGGTTAACAATTATTGAGCTTTTTTTTTTTTTAAAGATTTTATTTTATTTTATTTTTTAAGTAATCTCTACACCCAGCTTGGGGCTTGAATTTATAACCCCGAGGCAAAGAGTGCATGCTCTAGTGACCGAGCCAGCCAGGCGCCTTGAGCACTTTTTCATATACTTGTTGGTCATTGTAGATCTTCTTTGGAAAATGTCTACTCAATTTTCAGCATATTTTAAAATTGGATTATTGGGGCGCCTGGGTGGCGCAGTCGGTTAAGCGTCCGGCTTCAGCCAGGTCACGATCTCGCGGTCCGTGGGTTCGAGCCCCGCGTCAGGCTCTGGGCTGATGGCTCAGAGCCTGGAGCCTGTTTCCGATTCTGTGTCTCCCTCTCTCTCTGCCCCTCCCCCGTTCATGCTCTGTCTCTCTCTGTCCCAAAAATAAATAAAAACGTTGAAAAAAAAATTTTAAAAAAATAAATAAATAAAATTGGATTATTAATTTATTATTGAGTTGTATGAGTCCCTCATATGTTTTGGAGATTAACCCTTTATAATACATAAGGTTTATAAATATTTTCTCTCATGCCATACATTGCCTTTTCACTTCGATGATTGTTTCCTTTGCTGTGATGAAGATTTACATTTTGATATGTTTCCACTTGATTATTTTTGTTTTTATTGCCCGTGCTTTGGCATCATATCTATGAAATAAATCATTGCCACAACATATGCCATGAAGCTTTTCTCTTGTGTTTTCTTCTAGGAGCTTTACAGTTTTAAGTCTTTAATTTTAAGTCTTTAATCCATTTTGAATTGATTTTTGTGTGTGGTGTAAAACAAGGGTCCAATTGGACTATTTTTGCATGTTGATAGTTTTATTGATACCATTTGTTGAAGAGACTATTCTTTCCACGTTGTGTATTCTTGACATCCTTGTCAAAGATCGGTTGACCCAATATAGATGCGGGGATTTATATCTGGGCTCTCCATTCTGTACCATTGGTCTGTATGTCTGTCTCAATGCCAGTACCATAATATTTTGATTACTGTAGTTTGTAACGTATTTTGAAATCAGGATGTTGGATGCCTTCAGGTTTGTTCGGCTTTCTCAAGATTTATGTTTGATGCTAAATCTATGTAAATAGGCTTTTGTTATTGGAAATAAGGTACATTGATCAAGACAAATTTGAAACATAGAACTTAAAATTGTTCTCTAAACTCAATAAGCAATTTTCAGTTGTCACTTCCTATGTATCTTTAGCTCTCACTGGGGTGAAAGTAATATAGAGAACTGGCAACTACATCCATTATCAAACTCCTTTCTCTTGTCCTGGTGCCCTTTCCCCCTTCTCCTGCCAATCTTGTTCATCTCCCTCAAGTTCTACAGATCATGTGGTTCCTGACTATTGGCATGGTTCTTTGACGGTGTCACTGTATTAAATAAAAGGATTTAGGAGAACACAAAATTGTAAGATAAATAATCTTACAAGTGAACTGAAGAGAAGAAGGCTGTAGAGCATTTGCAGTTACAGCAGCGAGATAAGCCAGGAACACATTTAGAGAACAACCAAGTAGATCAGAGGATTCAGCTAAGGCACAACCATTCAGTTACCCACTTTTCAAAGTTCCATGACATACCAGAGCTCTGTTCCCTTCTCCACAGGACATTTTAGTGAATAAAGACCACATGCAAATGGGATAGATAGTAATAATAAATACATAGTAGATAGTTATTAGCCTTGTGAGCTAAAAGAGCCAAAAGAGCAGTTTAACTGTATGTGGGAACTAGCAGAAGACAGCAGAATTTAAGATATTTGGACAATCTTAATGCACCATACTTTGGATAATTTGTTTGCAATGGATTGCTGTAGTAAAAGTCTTCCTGCTTGACATTGAAACACTTTTAATGCAAATTACCTCAAGAGAGGTACAGGATAAATTACAAAGCACATACTGGCTTAAAGGAAGATAACAGTCATCTGCAAAACACATAGCTTTTTCTTAGCCTACACTTTGTAAAAGAAAAGAACACAGGTAATTACATGGTTCTTTATTAATAATGCTCTTATAAAACAAGTTAAGCAATTTATATGTTTTTTTTTTATTTACAGCTCACCAGGACATGATTATAGCTTCTCAAGCTTATCTAAAATAAAAGATAATATATATATCAACATTTTTGATGAAATGATTATTGAAAAACAGGTAATTTAGAATAATTATAACAATCAATGGTGAACTAATTTTAAGGTCAGACTGAATAAACCCTAGTAACATCTTTGTAAATTTGCTTTTAGATGCAATGTCTTTTTCCAACATTTTCTAAAAAGAACTTGGGGCAACTTGAAATAAAATCAGACATGTGACAAGTCAGTTAAAAAATATCAGAGATCATAAACCACATATGAGAGGCTAAGAGAAAAATTACCAGGTGTACTCACAACTGCAAAGAAAAGATCTTTCCCCTCCCCCCGCCGTTCCCAAAACCAGCCAGGGCGTGCCCGGTTGTAGTCTGACCTAAAGGCGGGAACCAATCAAGTTCTGCTGAATGGTTTGAAATAAAGGCGGGAACCAAACAAGTTCTGCTGAGCGTTCAAATTTAAATGTCAACCAATAACAGCTCTGTAACCTCAAAAAATCCCTAACTTGTTTGTGCCTGTCTATAAAAGAAGCTGTAAGATCCTTGCTTGGGGCCTCTTAGCGTCACCGGCAACGAGTGCGCGGAGGACCGGGTTCGAACCTGCAATAAACGACCCTTGCCGCTTGGCTTTGACTCTGGACTCTGGTGGTTTGTTTTCGGGGGGTCTCTCGAATCAGGGCATATCACATAGAGGAGGTGGAGGGGGTAAATATACCAAGATTTCGGGAGAAGTAGGTTTCTGCAATTTAACATTACATTTAAATGTGAGCTTTCGGGGAGCCAAGAAAATTGAAACGAAATGAAAATGCATTCTGTATTTCTCACTGCCTGATCAAAGAAAACATACCACTTCGGCAAGAGACACCAAAATTATTCACAGGACTAAAACCCAGTTCTAGTCAATCAGATTTTTTAAATTACTGAATGTCTTCATCATAGATACGCAAAAGCTCCTAACAATGCTTAGTGTAATCTCTCAAATAAATATTAGCTTCCTTCCTACTAAACTTGGCACCAGAAGTATAAAGATGCATATCCATTATACCTCCTCTCTTGGGACTCTGATTAAACGCTTTATTATAAATGCTCATCAAATTCTATGGCCGTGCTGTTGAAGGAGCAATTAATTCTATCTAGGGACTGGGGCTCAGAGGGAGAGAAGTTGAACTAGACCTTCAAGTATGGTTTAGGAATGAGTCTTCTATAAGAACTAAGAAACATAATGTCAATGTGTTCCAATTCAGTTTTCCAGGAGATGGGACACACATTCTTATTAAAATAGTTTCTATCAATTCTTCATAAATGCCTCATAAAAGGTAAAATATTGAACAGTAATTTGGTGATGGCTGTTCTCCAAGGAGTTAAACTGAGTAGTTTTCTGATTAAACTGATAATGAAAGAAAAAAAAAGGAGAGCTTGGGTGGCTCAGTCAGTTAAGTGTCTGACTCTTGATTTCAGCTCAGGTCTTGATCTCATGGTTGGGAGATCAAGCCCCGAGTAGGGTTTCATGTTGGGTGTGAAGCATGCTTAAGATTCTCTCTTTCACTCTCCTTCTGCCCCTCCCCCACACATGTGCTCACATGCTCATTCTCTCTCTCTCCCTCAAAAAAATAAAAATAAAAATAAAAAAATAAACTGATAATGGGTAGAACTTGGGAAACCCAAAAAATGCCTAACAGACTTTCTCTCTCAGAAGTGAATTATCTGGTTTGACTGGAATTGAATAATATTTGATTCATAGTTAAATTCTTGTAAGTGCTTTGTGTTGTTATTGAATGAAATCCATATGCTTTAAGTATCAGGACATATGTGACAACATGAGCCTGCTATTTAGGAAAGGAAAGGGCCTGGCCTATGTTCTTGCCTTCCTCTCATGCACTGGGTTACAAGGTAACTACAGGCCAAAACATTCCTTTTTCTCATAAAAGACCCCACCTAGGCTGAGCCCCAGGATGACTACCCCACTGAAAGAAGGTGTTGGTGTATCATCAACCACTGTTCTTTAGAAAACAGTTTCTTCCCATGCTTCAGTTTTCCTCTTGTCCTTGTGTATTTTTTCTTCCTGATATCAACTATTTCTTACTTCCTGTGGGTTCCCCCTTCATTAGTTAACTTGTTAGCAGGAAGCTGAGGACTTGGAAGTCTCATAGAAATGTGGCCTATTTTTAGCACTGGGGATGAAAGAGCTGGGCTCTTTCTAAGACGAATTTGGAACCAATCTCTCTCTCATAGGAATGGAAATATTTTAAGACCATGAATTTATCTCTAGAGTATCTTAGACCACGTCTTTCATATTAGGTTATTTTTATTTTTTGTTATTTTCTATGTAGTATTATTTTCTCTTGACCTACTAGTTATTTAATAATATGTTTTTATGTATTTTCAAATGACTAATGTAACTTTTGATTTCAAATTCTAGTTTTATTGTATTGTAGTCAAAGTGCTTTTGTAATTTTTAATAATCAGAACTATGATTTTTGAAAAACATAACTCTTTAGAACTTTTTATTTTTGAGGTTTAATTTTAATTACATGCTTTTCCTAGAGTTTACAAGCCACTTCAGGTAAGTTTGAATTATTCAGAGGCAAGAGACTCAACCTAGGATTTCTTAATTAAATTTGTATTGACAAGCTTATTCTGGCACACATTTTGCTTTCTATCCAAGGGGAAATAAATAGTGGAGACAAAAGGCTAAGAAAGTAAAAAATGTCAGTGCTTCAGATCATGAAACCAAATATTGCTAGTATCACCCTAGAAGCCTCTTTTGTGCTCTATCCAAATTCCTTCCTCCCCACAAGTAACTATCTTAGCTTCTAACAGTATAGATTAGGTATCGCTTATTTTTGAATCTTGTATGATTGAAATCATACATTATGCATCCATCTGTGAGTGATTTATTTCTCTCTACACTGTGTTTGTGGAAGTCATCTGTAATGATGCTCATTGATTCTCATTGCTGTATGGTATATTGTTGTAGGAATGTACCTTAACTTTTTTATGCATTCTACTATTGATAGATAATTTGTTTCTCTCTAGTTGTTGGCTCTTATATTTAACACTGATATAAATATAATTGTATATGTCTTGGGGACATCTGCATTTCTGTTGGATATATAGTTAAGAGTAAAATTGCTATCTCTCGGACTGTGCATATGCCCAGCTCTAGTTGTTTAATGCCAAGCCATTTTCAGAATGGTTGTGTCAATTCACACTTCCCACCACCAGTTTATGAGAGTTCTGGTTGATCGTATCCTTGTCATTACCTAGCATTGTCTGATTTTTTCATTTCAAACACACTGATGAAAGCAGCCATATCACCTTATGGTTTTAAGTCTCATTTTCATGATAACTCATGAAATTGAGCACTTTTTTCTATGTTTATTGGCCATTTTGATATCCTCTTTTGTGAAAATCTTGATTTAATGTACTGCAATGCAGTGGTGGTACTTTTTTGGTCCTCTTTAAGAAATATTGCCCACTTTAGATCATGAAGATATTATCCTGTTTTTGCTTCTAAAAGTTTAATCGTTTTGCCTTTCACATTTAGATTTAAAATCCAACCAGAATTGATTTTTATGTGTCTGTGTGGTAGAGGTTCAGGGTTATTTTTTTCCCCATAAGTATATTCAGTTGACCCAGCACCATTTATGGAAAAGATCATCCCTTCCCCCACTGCATTACAAAGTCACCCTTTGTTATGAATCTGGTGACTGTATAAATGTGGGTTTATTTCTGGACTCTGTTCTGTTCTATTAGTCTAATATGTATCCTTGCATTGATACCACACTGTCTTAATTACTAAAGCTTTGTCATAAATTTCGATATCCAGAAATCTAAGTTTTTCAGCTTTGTTTTTCTTCCTCAAGATTGCTTTGGCTATTCTTAGCCCTTTGTATTTCCATATAAATATTAGAATCAGTTTATTGCTTTCCAAAAACAAGACAAAACCTGCTAGTATTTTTATTAGGATGGATTGAATACATAGATCAATTTAATTAGAATTGACACCTTTATAATACTGATCTTTCCAATCCCACATACATGGTATATGTCCCCTCTCCCCCTTTAATTTTCTTTGTATTTGTCAGTATTCTCCAGAGAAACAGAATCAATAGGATAGATAGATAGATACATAGATAGATAGATATAGATATACATGATATATAGATATAGATATATCATATATATGAGATAGATATAGATATAGGAGATTTATTTTTGGCTCATGGGATTATGGAAGCTGAGATATGCCACAATATGCCATCTGCAAGCTGGAGAGCCAGAAAAGCAAGTGCTATAATTCAGTTTGAGTGCAAAGGCCTGAGGACTGAGAGACTGCTGGTGTAAGTTCCAGAGTCTGAAGCCCTGGAGAACCGGGAGTTCCAATGTCTGAGAGCAGGAGAAGATGGATGTCCCAATTCAAAAAGAAAGAGGGAATTTGACCTTCCTCCACCTTTTTGTTCTATTCAGGTCCTCAGAGGTTTGGATGATTTCTTCCCACATTGGTGAGGGCTGATTTTTACTCAGTCTATTGATTCAAGTGCAAATCTCTTCAGTAACACCCTCACAGACGCACCCAGAGAAAGTGTTTTATATATGTGGGCATCCTTAGTTCAGTCAAGTTCGCATGTAAAATTAACTATCACAATTTCCTTTTCCCAATTTGCACCATGATGGGGCTTAAGCATGCCTAGAATCAATCATAATATTCTAAACAGACCAAAATGAATAATTTCTCTTTGCACACAGATGGATGGTCTCTTTTTTACTTTAAGAGGATGGCCTGTTTACTTCTTTAATGATAAGTTCCTAGAAGTGTACCGTAGGCTCTATCCAAGGCAAAAGTGAGGATAGAAAAAAAGGGAAATCAAACCAATCTTACCAGTCTTGCAAATCTAAAATTCCCATGATAAAGCTGATCAGGACCTTGGGAAAAATAAACAATCTCTCAATTAGCATAAGAAATATAACATTCCAAGCAGTCAGAGTTGGTCTATCAGTGCAATCACTTCTCAATATAGAAACCTTTCTTAGAAACTGAATGGGGCTAATAAACTTAAACAAAAGAAAGAAAAAAGGAAAGGGAGGAAGGAAGGAAAGAAGGAAGAGAGAGGGAGGGAGGGAGGAAGAAAAAAAACTGAACTGGGCTCAGAAGACTACTAAGTAAATCAGAGAAAACTGAATTGCATGGTCTTAAGGGCTTAAGTTGAGGTAGCCTTGGGGGTTACCTTTTCCTGATTGGTACCATGCACTTAAATTAACTTAGTCATGTCAGCAAAACCTGCTTGTTTTTGGTCATGTTCTATCAACCATCAAACTTCTACTCTAAGTCCGCTTTTCTCCCTGATCTACAATCTATGATGCTATTCTCCTCTGAATGTGTCCTCATCATTTCAACATATTTTCACTACAATTTACCATCTTAAAATGTTGTTAGTGGTGGTGATGTCTTGGGGGTTGAGTTAAAGTAATTTTTATTCTTTTCTCTATATTCTTTAGTGTATTTTCAAAGTTTGCTGCACTGAGCAAATCTACTACAATAATGTAAATAGCTGTACATAGAGGCCATAAACTCCACAGTGGGTCATTATTTTGCTTTAAATAGTCAAGTGTCTTTTAAAGAAATTAAAAAGAAAGAAAAATATTCTTTCTGTTTACTCTGGTTTCTTTTTAAGAAGAAAAAATGATTTTTTATACTTATGTGAAAGTTTGTGAAATTATTCACCATGTGATTAAAGTAAGTAACAAAAATTATCTCTATTAACAGGATCCCTATTGCAAGAGCTGCAGTAGTTATTCACATATAAGAAAGAATTGGCTCGGGTCCATTGTCTTCCCTTTCTCTGCTCTTCTGCAACAATCTGAGGTAATAGAAAATGAGTATTTGCTAACTATTCTAAGTTTTTACCTTGGCTAGTAGAAACTTACTGTTATCTTTGAATTAGATTCTGTGATTACCAGGTTGGTAGGTCAAAGCAACCCTGTTTTTGAGTGCCCCTGGGGTGTTGGAGTTCTTAAATATTCTAGCTGTCTCTGGGGCGCCTGGGTGGCGCAGTCGGTTAAGTGTCTGACTTCAGCCAGGTCACGATCTCGCACTCTGTGAGTTCAAGCCCCACGTTCGGTCTGGGCTGATGGCTCAGAGCCTGGAGCCTGTTCAGATTCTGTGTTTCTCTCTGCCCTCCCCCCGTCATGCTCTGTCTCTCTGTCCCAAAAATAAATAAACGTTGAAAAAAAAAAAAAAAAAAAAAAGCTTTAAATATTCTAGCTGTCTCTAGAAAAGGAGACACCCACAAATTTATTTCTTATATGTTTAGAGTGTTTGATGATAAAGAATAATACATCTAGGGGTGCCTGGGTGGCTCAGTCAGTTAAGCGTCTGACTCTTGATTTCCACTCAGGTCATGATTCATGGATCATGGGATCAAGTCCCACGTCGGGCTCTGGGCTGACAGCATGGAGCCTGCTTGGGATTCCCTCCCTCTCTCTCTGCCCCTCCCCTGCTCATATGCACACATGTGCTTTCTCTCTCAAAATAAATAAATAAACAAACAAAAAAATAACACAGCTAGCCTTAGGTCTTGAAACAACATTAACACTTGCATATAATAGTTTTTTTAGGATCAGATTCACAAATGTTCTTTGATTAATGATAAATGATTCATGGTGTTGCTTTGTGACTATGGGTTCTAGGAGTTTCAGCTCCTCAGCATTGCTTATTGATAATGGTGAGACTGATGATTAGCACCTGTCTCTGTGATATCCCCACAGGGCTCTCCTGTTGAGTTGTGTAGCACAAATAATGCCTACATGACCAGAAAAATAGAAAAAACCCAGCCTAGACTCTCTTTGGGGCTTTGTTAGTTAGTTATAGAGCTATGCCATCCATAGAAGTTTCAGAAATGAATTTTGTACCTCAAAGAGCTCGCCGTCTATAGAAGAAAACTAATGCTATAGTGCTTTGATAGGGGCACAAGACAGATACTGTGAGAACATACAGTAGGGAGTACCTTACTCTTACTGGTTTGGAGAAGTGGGGGTATTCACAGGGGCCAGGGGTGAACAAGAGGGGTATGAGAAGGAGAAGGAAAGGTCAGAAAAGTATTTACCAAAGAGATAACTTTTGAATCAAGTCCTTAAAGATGGTTGTCAAACAAAAGAGGGCATTTGACTCAGAAGGAACTATGTGTGTATTATTAGAATTGCATTCAGCCATTTGCCACAGAAAACCTAACAATGAGTGATATAAGGGGTCTATTTATCTCACCTAAAAAGAAATCTAGATGACAGTGCAGCAGCTCAAGAATATCACGTTACATATCATGTGGCTGTCATCCTCATAATTGCAAATTACTCAGTGCTCCTCCAGCCTCGCATTCATGTTGCAGATGAGAGCAGGGTGAAGCAAGAAGGGGCAGTGCGCTTTCTCAGGAAACCCTGGCAGCCTTCTTACATTTATGTGACTTGGCCACTATGTGCCTATCATATTGCCACCTGAAACTGTTGGTGAGAAAGGAGAAGAGAATAGACATTAGGGAAGAGAGTAGAAATGCCTGCACAATATGTTATCACAAGGGATGTCATGAGGGAGCATGTTGCAAGTATCCGGACTGCAAAGAAAGAGCAATAGAGATTTAACTTGTTGGGGTACAGGGCTTCCTACATCTGTAAATCTCCGAGTATCTCTCAGTCTCAGGCTGGACTCCAGGATAGAGAGGTAGTTAAGAATGTGGGCTTCAAAAGTGGGCAGACCTCATTAGCTGTGTGAGTTTGCACGAATTACTCAAATTCTGTAAGCCTCAGTCTCCTTATCTGCAAAGTGGGAGATTAGAGGAGTATTTACTTCATTGAATGATATGATCTACATCAAGCACTTAGCATAGTGCCTTGCACATAGTAAGTGTTCAGTAACTATTAGCTATTACTATTAGTTATTATTATTGTAAATCAGCGCCTACCTCTGCACATGCGCGCACACACACACACACACACACACACACACACAAGATTCCTCCTCCTGTGGACCTGTGGATTGTCTTTCCTGCTGCTGCATTTTGTCTTCTCTTTCTAGACCCAATATAAAATGTACCCAGTGTAACATAGTCTTTTAGCATCTTCTCTGAGCCTGAATTAGATCTTCTAAGAACTTCTATCACTCTGTTAGGGCAACTTGCATCCTTGCTTCATCCCTTTTCTACATCTGCCCTGTCCACATAGTGCATGTTAGACAGGGACCCAGGGTGTGGAGGGTGTGTGTGAATAGATCACCATGGAGAACCTGATCATCCTTGTGCAGGTACATACTGGTAGAACCCGCATGTGCGTACCCATGCAAGTCTGTTTCCTCCTCGGGAGAAGACTGGGACAAGCTGTACTGTATTTGACTGATGTGTATTTTTGTCATGAAGAATCTATTATATTGATATATTCTTTCAGATTAGCGGAACATTTCAAGTAAATACTCCGCCAGTTTTGCTTGGGTATACTTGGAGTAAGACTCATGCGTCTCCTAAAGAAGATTATAATGGGCAGAATTTTAAAGAATCTACCTTCTTAAATATTTTTGCTACCATTGAACCTCAAATATCATATGTCACCTGTAATCCAGAACTAGACAAGGTAGGTTTTGCACTGAATTGTTTTTATAGGTACTATTAAGGAAGTATAAACTTGTTTTAAAAGCTAGTAATAATTTCAAAGTGGATAAAAATGAACATTGGTTCTTGGTATTTTCCTGTGGGAACAATATGGAAAAATATTGAAATATTTTGAACTTGATTCTAGTTTTCAGATCAAACAGATGTTTTCAAGAGAGCACAGATTTTTAAAAAAAGTTGTCAGGCGATGTTTCCCAACCGAAGAGTCACAGCTACTGTCTTTAATGGTGAAGGGATACAGATCTTAGTGACAAGATATATCAAGGCATTAAACCCACCTCAGCAACTCCTGGATATATTTCTTCATGATTCTAATGCAACACTTGTAAGATATGTATTTTAGTAGCTTTATTGATATATAATTCACATTACATATCATTCACCCATCTAAGGTATACAGTTCAGTGGTTTTTAGTGTATTCACAAAGTTGTGCAACCATCACCATAGTAAATTTTAGAACATTTTGTTACTCTATATTTATTTTAATTTGTTTATTTTTTATATTAACTTTGAGCATAACTTTCTTACTAAAATTGTTTTGTTTTCAAACACAGTTTCCTGAGAGAGAAACCATCTGTGTTACAGTATGTCCTCTTGAGCCCCAGATGGGAGAAAATATTTCTTCCTGATCTCCTTCATTTCTACCCCCTTGGACTAGAGAGTCACTGTTGCTACACCAGTTCATGTGACCACACTAGCTTTGTAGTGTTTCTACCAAACTTTGGAAAATGACACAGAAAAATTCCTTTGACTTCAGGCAAAATTAAGTTATGTGTCTGGGGGCGCCTGGGTGGCTCAGTCGGTTGAGCACCCAACTCTTGGTTTCAGCCCAGATCATGAGCTCACAGTTTTGTGAGTTCAAGGTCCGCCTCAGGCTCTGCACTGGCAGTGCAGAGCCTGCTTGGGATTCTCTCTCTTTCTGCTCCTTCCCCGCTCATGCTCGCTCTCTCTCTCTCTCTCTCTCTCTCTCAAAATAAATCAATAAACATTTTTTTTAAAGTTATGTTTCTAAAGGAGTTGTGTCCTACAAATGGCTTCTCAAAGGGTTGCTTCTCATTGTTATGTGGGAATGAAGAAACTATGTTATATTTTTCTCTGTAAACTTCCATCATAACACCTCCTACCCCATCCTATGTGACTTTTCCTTTATGCATATCTATTTACCAGCTGACAAGAGAAACATACTCAAAATTGAAGTTCATATAAAATGAAGATTTATTCACTATGGACTCAAAAACTCCTACCACTTTAAGAAAGGAAAATGTGAAATCAGAGCTATAAGTCTCCTCTTTGAGGCAAAAAAATAAGCTTTGCTTAAAAGGCATCCACAAAAAATCATTTATACCTTTTGTTTATTCAGGTTTGATTGAGTCAGTTGGCTCACCTCAGAATATTTGTATTATTTTTCCACTATAAAGCTCCCTTAGCTACACTCTAGGATGAAATAAAATATCCTAACTTAGGTTGCTTTTTGCTATGCTCTGCCTTTCCATCATGAGTTTCTTTCTGCCTATGTTTTCTGACACCCAAAGTCCAAAGAGATAATAATGCTCTAGATTTATATCAAAAACCATCTTCGCAGGTCTTTTGTTTGTTCGTTTTTTATTTTAGAGAGAGTGAGAGAGAAAGAGAGCAGGGGAAAGGGTCAGGGAGTGAGAGAAAGAGAGAGAGAGAAACAGAATCTTAAGCAGGCTCCATGCTTAGTGTGGAGCCCAACGTGGAGCTTGATCCCATGACCCTGGGATCATGACCTGAGCTGAAGTCAAGAGTCAGATGCTCAACCAACTGAGCCTCCCAGGTGCCCCAATCCTTTTTTGTTTTGTTTTGTTTTGTTTTTAAATATAACTCCTAGCAACTTTGCTTATGAAGGACTATGAATCATGAAGTCAAAAACATGACCAATGTAGGAGGTCATTGGTGCATAAATGATGGCTATTATAAATCAATGAAAATGTCAGTAAACTTTCTGTGTTACTCATTATTTATTTGTATCCCTTTCTACTTTCCTATTTTAGTCCGAGTCCTTGTCTCTAGCCCTGTAGGGGGAACAATCCACAGTATAACTTGTGTTGTTTGAGAAAGCAAGCTGTACCAACATCTTCCTGCTCCAATAACTTGTAACAAGCTTGTATTAATAAAAATAATTCTAATAGATTTGGAACCTAAAAGCAAATCAGCTTTTGCTATTGTTCAATATATTTTTTAAGAATTTTTAACAGTTGTGGGGCGCCTGGGTGGCGCAGTCGGTTAAGCGTCCGACTTCAGCCAGGTCACGATCTTGCGGTCCGTGAGTTCGAGCCCCGCGTCAGGCTCTGGGCTGATGGCTCGGAGCCTGGAGCCTGTTTCCGATTCTGTGTCTCCCTCTCTCTCTGCCCCTCGCCCGTTCATGCTCTGTCTCTCTCTGTCCCAAAAATAAATAAACGTTGAAAAAAAAAATTTAAAAAAAAAAAAAAAAGAATTTTTAACAGTTGTAATTTAAAGTATATAGGTAATATACATAATGTTTAAATTTTCTAGAATTTATTACAGTGAAGTGTAGTGGTTAATGGGCATCCTCTGGAGTCAGGCTAACTTGGGCTTGTTCCCAGAGATTCCATGCACTGTGTTAGCTGTGTGACCCTGGGCAAGTTATCCTAGCATGCTATGATTTTTTTTCCTCTTCTGTAAAACAAAAATAATAATAGTATGTACTTCATGGGCTTATGGGATACACTAAATGTGATGGTCATGCGTGTAAAATACTATGCCCGGTGATGGGCATATAGTATGCACTTAATAAATGTTAGTTAATATTGTTCTAGGACCTCATTGCTCGCTTTGTATCTTTGATTCCTGTTGTGCCCGATGTTCTGGATGAAAATGATGGTTTTGATATATGGATGACATCAGAGGTAACAAATTATGTTTTATAATTCAAATATATAGTATTTCTTACTTTTCTCTTAAATAGATTTTTAAAAATAGTATGCACATATGTAATACTTTGTTTTGTGAAATTTGACATCATTTGATAATTTAATACATCATAGGCAGCTCTATCATAATCCATAGAAATAATTCTCAAGATGGGGCTCCTGGGTGGCTCAGTCAGTTGAGCGTCCGACTTCAGCTCAGGTCACGATCTCGCAGTCCGTGAGTTCGAGCCCCATGTCAGGCTGTGGGCTGATGACTCAGAGCCTGGAGCCTGCTTCCGATTCTGTGTCTCCCTCTCTCTCTGCCCCTCCCCCGTTCATGCTCTGTCTCTCTCTGTCTCAAATATAAATAAATGTTAAAAAAAAATTTTTTTAAAAAAAAAGAATTCTCAAGAGGAACAATCTATTCAACGTTATAAGTGGTAGCTCATGAATATTTTCATCCAATGGAAATTCCAGGAGTACAATATTATGACATCCTCCAGACAGAACTTGGCTTGTCACTATGGAGCTGGACAGACACTGAGTCTAGGGCAAAGACCGCCCCTGCTCAGAAGCTTTCCCCAATCTCCCCACATCTCAATGAAGAGCATGCATAGCAATGCTCTTTCCTCAGCACTTGGATTAAAATTCTCTTTAAACTGGTCGCCAAATAGAATAGAGGCCCCATGCAATATTTGAGACATATTTATACTAAAAATGTGTTTATACTAAGTGCAGATTTAATTGGTCATCCTATGTTTTCCACAAATCTGGCAACCTTAAGTAGAGCACTTTTTTCAGTGCTCTTATATTTAGTTGCTTATATATTGACTCTACACCCACACTCTGCACATATACATCCCAAGTTTAATCTCTTTGAATGAATAACTAGACTTGATTATTATTTATTTTTATGTAAAGTCAGTAAGCATTCAACAAATATTTTTGATTGAAAATTACTAGTATGATAGGAGCCTTAGAGAGGGACACTTTCCATCTGGAGCCAATGGTCCTGGTACTTATCTAGAATGTTTTAGAAGTTAGAGTTGAGCTGAAATGGATTTAGGGGGCACAGTGCTAACTTAATAGGTCACTGTCTTTTGGTAAGTGAGAACAAGGGAGACACAAGCATGTGGTTCCAGTGATTCAGTAATTCAAATCTAGTAGAACTCAAAGAGGTCATTAACTGTAAACTCTTCTGAGACTCTCTCATCTAATCAAAATGTGTTCATGGGTATTATAATCCTGCAGAACATTGAAAGAGCCTCTAAAATAGCTAAAAAATAACCATTCAGGCAAACACTAGTACTCTCGAGTCCCTCCCCACCCCCAACCACCAATCCAAACAATACCCATTACCGAGAGGTTATTACAAGTATAGGATTCCTCTTGGCTAATGTCTTCCCACTGACATGAACTCTTTGGCCATGGGATGCCCATGATATATGACTATTAGACTGTCACAGGACAAGTGTTATTTTCTCCTTCCTAACACACAGTCTGTGGAGAAAAACAAACCTTGGTTCAAATCCCACTTCAACCACTTAAGAGCTTTGGGACCTAAGATAGATCATTTAGCTTCCTTGGACCTCGACTTCCTCATCTGTGTCATACAGAGGTTTTGAAAGGATAACATATATGCAGGCATCTGGAACTCCGTATGTTAGTTACCTGTTCTCACCTGTTCTCTCCTCCTCTTATGAAATCCAGTCAGGGCAACCTCCTTGGCCTGACAATGAAGACCACTCATACTCTGCCCTTCACTCTTCTGTTCACACTTTTCTTTGAGAGGAGCCATGTTACCATCCTCCCTAAACTCCATCCCTCACCACCATGTTCTGCCAGTGTGAACAGATATGACCATATCAGTTATTAAAACACTGAAATGCTTTCATACAGAATGGTAAATAGTCACTTCCTGAGGTCCCACATCCCCCACCTCCCTGGCCACTACAGCCCTTTACAGAGGACTGTACTGAACTGGAAGGCACGCGTCCTGTCTAAATGTTGCAGCTGCTATTCAACAACAACAGACTTGCTGTATGAACATTTGGGCCCGTTTATGTTGTTAGATCTTCTGATTTTTTCAAGGGAAGCCGGAAATGCAGAGTTTTATATGAGCTCTCCCAATTTTAAAAAACATTCCAGGGCCAAACAAAAAACACACCTTTAGAGTAGAACTAGGTCATAGACCACCAGTCTGCCACCTCTGTCGTGCTTTTACTCTCTTGCAACAACTGTTTTACTAGGCACCCTATATTTGACTACACCCAGCCCCAACTGTCCAGCTTTTTTAGTTGAAGATGTTTCAATCATCTCCCTGACTGGGCCTCAACTCCAATCTCTTCCTCTCTATGACTTGAGAGCACCATATTGGTACACGACAGTGTATAGCTCCATTGACCAAAGGATCCTTTCCCCTAAAAACTCTATGGGATTTCCTATCACATGAGGTTTTCTTAGAATATCAGTCCATATGTCCCAGTTTGCCCGGAGCAGTTTAATATTTGTCCTTAACAGAAACGTTCTAGATTGGATGATAAACTGTTTGGTCACTTGCACAGTATCCACATTAATTGCCCCATGGTAGAGTGACCCCTATATTCCAAGCTAGTGTTCTCGCCAGTGTTTTCAAAGGCAGAAGGTACCAGACCTTGCAGCTTTGCGGTCAGTCATCCCAGCGACCTGGCAAAAATATGTGTGTTTGAAGCTGGAGGGAGGAGAGGGGCCCCAAGTCTGTTGGATGCTTGCATTGCTTATCTTTCTCTTCCATTTTCTTCCGGCCTTGTTGCTTTTCTTTTGCCTTAGCGCTGCATCAGTTTGGCTATTGGGAATAAGGAAGAGCATGCCATACTGCTCTGTAATTTCTTTCTGTATTTTGGAAAGAAAGCTTTAGTCGTCCTGGGGACTTCAATGTTGGAAGTAAGTGCTGGTGTTAATATTTACATAGTGTAAACAAAACTAATCAACTTTCAGCTGTAAGTTTAAAAGACCTAAATCCCAATTTTCCTTCTTTTCACAAGCTAATGGGGGAATTTCATGGGCAACCAATGATTTAGTTAAGAGGATAATGTTGGTTCATCCAAATGACCACAGTGTAAAGAAAGGCTTTCCTTTCTTTTCTTTGTAAAACTGTACTAATAATAGTGCTACTTCATGGGGTTACTAAAATGTTAAGTTACATAGTGACTGTGTGGCACTGGGAATAGCACCTTGGTCCATGGTGAAAACTCAATAGTCACCACTTGGTGGTGGTGGTGGTGGTGGTCTAACAGTTATAGTGATGGCTGTAGGAGTTATTAACCATCACCACCACTATCATCTTTATAATTTTCTAATGCTATATTTAAAGATCCTTAAGAAATACTTCTCCTTATTCTTCATTTCTCGCTTTTTAGTCATACAAGAAGTGGGCCTGCAATTTGAATTTACCTACTGACATTTTTACACCTTAATTATATACTCCTGCATTCATACCTCCAGAACACTATCTTCCTTTGGACTGTTTCTATTTCTACCACGAATATCTTGATGAGGGTCAAGATTTCCAGTCTCGTTTTAGGCTTTGTGTTGTGATCACTTATTTCTCTATGTTTCCTTGGCATGGCTTATTATTTCTTTTAGCAGGCTAAAAGCTCGTGGTTAATTTCCCCTACGATCCCCCTGTGTAGGTTTAAGTGCCACTAGATGGCAGTAAACAGTCAACAGTATTTCAACAAATATTTGCATTTATGCCTGCGAGTCAACACCATGGGTGGTAGGTACTTCGGCTGTGTGTTTCACCTCAGCTCTGTGGTTGAGGCGAAGCCTCCCCCTTCCTGAAAAGAAGCCAAGCACATTGATAAAGAACCAGAGCTTTGGAGAGACCAGGCACAGTGTTAAGAATATGTGTTTGGGGGGTCAAAGAGCGGTTGAAAACCCAGCAATGCCATTTACTGACTGTATAGTCTCAGCCTTGTTTACTTACTTTTCTGAACCTCAGTTATCTTCCCCATAAATAGGACTATATGGTTACACTACACAAGCCCTTCAACCTCTGACTCTATCTGAAAGATGAGCGTAATGATCACCCCTACCTCAAAGAATTTGGAGTGAATGCAAATGAAAAATTTAGTGTAAATGCTGAGCATGGTGCCTGGTGCACATATTCCCATTAAGTGTTCAATAGTCTTTATTATTACCTGAAATTGTTATTCTTTGCTAATAAAACTTTGCACTTAAAAAGGTATGTTAAGAACAGAATAATAACATAATGACTACTTTTATTCCTCAGATGGTCCCCGGTATACTTTCTCTCTAGCCTCCAATGCCAGATCTTATGCTCAAAATTAACTTAATGACCTTTTAACTTCACTTGGCTTTTTCAGAGCCTTCGGCAAGTGTCCATTTCCTAAATTCAGTCCCCAAGTATATTCCACTCAAAGCAGGGCTGGCCTATATAGTGCTTTTGTGTGCATTAGACCAAAGTGTCCCTACCTTAAAACACTTCAGGATAAGCATCCTTCAGCTCGGGTCATGATCTTGTGGTTCGTGGGTTCAAGCCCCGCATCGGGCTCTGTGCTGACAGCTCAGAGCCTGCTTCAGATTCTGTCTCCCTCTCTCTCTGCCCCTCCCCTGCTCGCACTCTGTCTCTCTCTGTCTCTCAAAAAATGAATAAACATGTTAAGAAAAATTAAGAAAAAAACACTTCAGTGCTAGCTGTTGGGAAATTGTCAAAACATACTGATTTTTCTAGAGCAACATGTTTCATTGCTGCGAGGGTAAACCTTACAGGGCTGCACATGGCAGCACCAGCTCAGAAGTTCTCTCATTTGAATCCTCATGCTAGCCTGGGCCTGAGGAATTCTAGAGCTTTAGCTTTTTTCCTTTTCAAAAAGACTTTGAAGACTCCCCCCAAAAAGACTTGTAGAACTCAAAGATATCATATACTTACATTACAATTTCCACATACAAAAATGAGTTGAATCAACCACCTGCCAAAAATGACGTTAACCATCTTTTTCCTCACACAGGGGCAAGTAGCTTATGTATTAACTCAAGAAACTGATGAATATTTGCTTTGGAATCCATTAACTGGGCAATGTCATAAGCAGTTTGACCCATTTTGTCCCTTACAAAGTGTGGACTGTTTGTTTGATGATGGAAATGTAAGTATCTGGGGAAAGAAGCCTTATTTGGAGTTAATATCCTCAAGAGTCAGGCAGTTCTCCTCTACTCTGGCTCTACATTAGAACCATGTGGACTCTGAAGAAAATACAGATGTTCAAGTAGAATCCCTGGGTTATGGAGCCAGGGATTCTTCAATCCCTAAAGTTCCCCAGGTGATTCTGTAGTGCCTCCAAGGTTGAGAACCAGTGATCAATCTAATGTTCACATGCCCTTGGAATCTCTACCTCCTACCTCAGAACCTCCCTTGGCTTCTACCTTCGCTGGGTAGTAGGGCTGTAAACTTTTTCTCCATCCTAACCAGTAGGGGCTTTGTGCTCCCATGTGCCTATACCGATTTTATGTTAATGTTTTAATAGGTCTGGTTTAATATTCAACAAAATAATACGCCAATGGCTGTACATTTTGACTATTCAAAAGAAAGTTTCTGGAAACAGTTGCTTCCAAAAGATTTCCAAGGGACAAACGTACAAAGCATACAGGTAAAACTAAATTCTTCTCAGGTGTGTCTGTATGAAAGTTACCATCGGTTCTAATCTTTACCAGTTGTGCCAGCTCTCGTTATGTTTATACAGCTGATTGCAGACTGAGTGATTTGGCAATGCTAATAAAATCTAGTTTTCTCTGCCATCCAGCCTGAGTTTGGGCTACTCCTATCATACTCCTCTACTTGCAGAAAAGAAGAATTGAAAAGAAGGCATCATCTTCAAAGTGAATGTAGATTTTAAAGGGAAAAAATGTAAATGTTTATTCTAAAACTGAAAATATAATGTCAAGATGGTGTCGTAAGTTTACCTTGACCTAGCCCTCTGCTCCACACCCATGGTAATGATAAAATAAAAAGATTGAAAAAGAAAAGGTTTACCTGGGCTCCAAACCATGACAATGATCTCATGGAGTAGAAACAGGACAGAAATACTAGCAATGAGTAGGGCTGAATGAAGGACGGCAACAAGGGCTGAAAACGGTTCATGAAATCCAGGGAACCGGGCCAGCCTCACTTTTCGAAGCTAGGGATTGGGATGGGTCCCCCTGCGTCACTACTCTCAAAAGCAGATGGAGAAGAAAAGCTGCAGACCCAGTGCCAGGAGAACCGAGGCAGGGGTGGAAGCACAGACCCGAGGTCAAGAACGACGGAATTACCAGGTGGCTCAGCCAGTGGATCTGTGGTGCACGTGACGTCCCTTTGTGAGGGACCCCAAATTCCACTTCAGTGGCTGTTTCTGGATCGAGGCCCCTGGCATGGCAAGGTGCAGGCAATTACAAAATCCATAAACTAAGAGCTATGAGCCGAAAGGAAGTGAAAGTTAAAAGAAGATAGTGGAAAATACAGTAGAAAAATAGGCAGAAAACAATTCATAGAAGCAGAAACTTGAATGCTCAATCTCACTCACAATCAGGAAAATACAATTTAAAACAACAAAGCACCTCTTTACATGGTTAAGATTGGCAAAAAAAAAAATTTAAGTATGACCATACCAAGTGCTGGCAAAGAGGAGAAGTGGTGGGAGGGTAAATTGCTGTAAGTGCTCTGGAAAGCAGTGTGACGAGATCTGATAAAGCTGAAGATGCTCAACCTTGACCCACCAGTTCATCTTCTCAGCATATACCCTAGAGGAACATGCACAGGAAGACAGCAAGTACAACAGTGTTCTTTATAGAATTGCTTGAAATAGGAAAAAAAAATGAGAAAAGAATTCATCAACCAGAAAAAGAATACATGAGTTGTGAAGTACTCATAGTATGATTTCTTCTACGTAACAGAAGAAAAAAAAGTATGAACCAACTTACACTAGTTCTCAACTTGACTGTACATCCATTACATCAGAGTCGCTGAGGGTGGGACATACACACCCATGTTATTTAAAGCTCCCCGGGTGATTCCAGTGTGCAACTGAGGTTGAGAGTCATTGATCTAGAGCTATGCGTATCAACAGGAATGAATATAAAACAAAGTAATGTCAAGCAAAATGAAAAATATATGAAATGACACATAATACAAAATCACTTATATAAAGTTTGAAAATGATGTGCTGTTTATGTATATATAGACACATATTGATGGTGTAAAAGCATTCCTAGGAAATGATACATACCAAATTTAGGTTAAAGGTGACCTTTGGAGAGAGGAAAAAAAGGAATGAGGTCGGGGAGCAACATACAAAGTACTTCAAGTCTGTAATGTTTTACTTCTTTTTAAAAAAATCTAAAACAAATATGCAAGAATGCAAAGGTGAGATGTAGCTAAGTGGTAGGTATGGTGGGTGGATTTTCATTACCTTGTTCTCTATGCTCATCTATATATTTGAGCCATTTCACAAAATCAGAAGGAATGCATGGAAGTTACAGAGAGGGGATCATACAGTACCAAACTGTACAAAGAATGTCTCTCCCTTTCAACATCTCTTTCCCACTCCCTAAGAAATAAACACTGTTAGTAGTTACTTGTGCATCCTTCTAAACATTCTCCGTGTGATGCAAGCATGCGTATGTATGTATACATATTTCCTGTTGTAAAGTCATTTTAAAGAAGGGGAAGTGTAGTTATCTCTCTAGAGCAAACAACATTTTCAGCATCCACAGGCCATGCCTTGCTTTTCCCATCCCAAAGTTGCAACTGATGTATTGCCGCCTCTGGCAGCGAGGTGACATATTTAGAGATGAGGGTTTTTTTGTTTACTGTTAATCATTCTATTAGGGCTTCGGTGAAATGTTGCTTGTGTGCCTGCGCTATGTGAGGCATCAGTACCACAAGGAAAACGTGTGTCTCAGTATTGCCAGGACTTGTGTTCTCAAGGAGGAAAGAGAAGGGAGCAGGCAATTGCAGGACAGAGTGGTAAATGCAATCACAGAAGAAATGAGTGTGCTTTGGGGAGTGTGCAGCAGAGGGCCTGAGGGGAAGGACAGCTCCTGGGGCTTCCTGGGTAAAAAGCAGTGACCAGCAGAGTGAGGAAGGTGAGCAGGAACTGGCCTGGAGGAAGGTCGGAATAGAGAATAGTCCCGGCAGAGGAGAGGGCACAGCAGGCATGACGACCAGCAGGTGCAGGCAGGTGTCTGTCGAGGAGCTAAAAGGCCAGCTTGGCTGCGGCCAGGGGGTGAGCAAGACAAGCTCAGGGGTGAGCAGAGTCCTGGTAAGGACATGGGCGCCTTGTCCTCAGGACAGTCAGAAGCTAACATCACTAAGGCAAGGGCTGCCGTGATCAAAATTGTAGTTTTTAAAAGCCACTCTGCCCAAGTATGGAAACAAAACCTTTTGTCATGTCGAATCTATAAATATAAAACCCAGTATTGCATTTGACTTGCATCTCTATTCTCTCTTGTGGATTAATGGCCCTCAATCTTCTGTCTTGCAACACACATCCCAAAATAAACCACTATCTGTGGTGAACACTTGTTTTTTGTCACAATTGTGAACCCAAATTTGAGTGTGTAAGATGAGCATGTGGGTACTCAAGGATGAAGTTAACAGGGAGATCCTCTTGAATTTTTAAAAGATATGAATTCCCTGAAAGAAAGGGCCTTTGCCAAAGAAAGCAAGTGGACTAACACCTCATAAACTTATCGAGTTAACGTTAACCCAGGCCTCTTTTTCAGGCCTGAAGGTGGCCTAACTAATCCACTAGTTACCTGACGGAGGGAGGGGCCAGGGAGGGGAGTGGGGGCCTTGGAGGGTTACACAGTGGTTGGTGGCAGCAATAAAGGCATTCAGTTTACCTGTGCTGTCTGGGACAGCTGGTGGCCCTGCAACATGACGTTGGAGTTCATAGTTTCCTTTTTCCAGTGTCTCCCCTCTCCTGGAGGAATCTGTTGTGGGGAAACTCCCTGTGCCTGGGACTGTTGTCTAATCTATCCATGGTGGCATCAGAACCCTGGCAGACTGCTGGGCCTTGCCCTGTGAGTTTCTAATTCAGCGGGTACCACATGGGGGCTGAGAATTTGTATCTCTAACAAGTTCCCAGGTGTGAGGTTGCTGGTCCAGGGGCCACACTTCTGGAACCACTGGCTTAGATCATCACCTGACAGACTGAATCTTCTCAATCACTCTTGAAATATTCTAGCCCCTAGAGGTCTGAAAACTGTTGCCTTCTTATTGCACAAGCCTCCTTCCGCCCATGTCCCTATCTCTACAGCTACCTCTATTTCTCAGTTCAGGAATGCTCAAAATAAAAATGCCCAAGCCCAGCCCCTCTGTCTTGTCCATGTGAGCCCTGCAGGGAGGGACATGCACACAAAGACCTGGCTCCTGCCAGCTGGAAGAAAAGGATATTCAACCAAAGAAGGAAGATAACAAACCATGTTAAAAGAGTAGTAGGGCGCCTGATTTGGTTCAGTCGGTTGCACGTCTGCGCACGTCGGTTGGCTCAGGTCATGATCCCAGGGTCATGGGATTGAGTCCTGTGTGGAGCTCTGCACTGAGTGTGGAGCCTGCTTGGGATTCTCTCTCTCTTTCTCTCTCTCTCTGCCTCTGCCCCTCTCTCCTGCTCATGCTCTCTCTCTCTCTCTCTCTCTCTCTCTCTCTCTTTCAAAAATTTTTTCAAAAAATGAAAGAGTAGTAGTAATAATACCTGATTTTTATTGAACGATATGTGCCAGGCTTTGCATATATTACTTTATATCAAAATCTTCACAAGACCCTAGGGAAGTAAGTACTATTATTGTCCCTCTCTTAAAGATGTGGTATCGGAGACTTGGAGAAGTTAAGTGACTTCACCAAGGCCACGGTTGATAAGTGGACGAGACTAGTGCAGGTGCCAAAAATTTTCTGGTATAACCAATAAGCATGTCAAATGTTTGTTTGAATAAATGAATGTGGCCAGCAGACCTGTCTTACCCAGGAAAAATACCTTGTAAATCCACTCCTCATCCCGCGCTCTGGTGAAGTAATACTAAAATCAAAGGAAACACTGTGATCTGTGTTTTACCTTTGTGCTTCTGTGGTGGAGTGCTTTTGCCACATGAAAGTGGTTTGGGTTCCCCTCATTATAATTAGCACTCCAGGGGTGACTGTGATGTCAAAGTGGTCTCCCTAGAATCTTTTATAACTTTCAGTTGTCTATGTGTTTCAGCCTGAGGAAATAATTTATTGTGAGACTAATAAAAGCATGATAGAAGATCTAAAGAACAGGTATGACCTTTATTTATATATTACGATTACTACGTTTCCTCCCTAATCTCTTGCTCCTTTCAGTTCTCCAACCCAGGCTCTCAAAATACCTATTAGATTCAGCAATAGAAGCAAGAGATTGAGGTTATGGTAAGTGTCTTCCACTGCGTCATTGACTTTTGGTCCGTGCATCAAAAAGCAGTCCCTCTGCCATTCCAGGACACTCCTTACAAAAGACCATCTAAGTTAAAAAGTGGTTGCCTCTGGAAAATATTGTAGGGCTACTGCTGGGAAGTTCTCAACACAGACACCTGTTGAAGTTATGGTAACAATAATGCAGTAACTAATACTTCTTGAAAGGAAATGAAGGTAAATGGTCCACCACTTGGAGTATGGAAAAAACATCCAAGTTGGGTGGTAGAAACATCAATATTGTCCCTCATCAGCACTCCCCCCTTCCCCAAACACACACACGTCCCAAGGAGTTGTTCGGTCAAGCTGAACAAGTTTGTCAAAGTCACAAACTTTACAGCAGGGCTTGCTCCTACTCCAAATGTGTCAGAAGCTTCTAGATCTTACTGTCTCCAGTGACTCATGCTGACATAGCAGGCTGCCATATAAGCCCCGACCAACTAATCAAAACAAAACATAACAAATAATATTGCCACTCCCTTCTCTCACTAGTACACAGCTCCCACCTCTTATTTCCTTCCTTCTTCCCCAGTTCTTAACAAAAAAGGGAAGCAATGCAGTAGAGAAATGATTCCAACTTCTGGTTTTCATCAGAATCACTTCTAGAACTATTTTAAAAAATAGATGCCAGGATCCCAGACCAGACCTGTTGAATCAATACCTGAAGGTGAAATATGTTGATAAAGCCCTACAAGTGGTTCTGATGCTTAGCTGCTTCTTGGGACTCTGCAAACTCCAAAACTACTCAGTCACACTACAGACTCAGCCAGGAGGAAATTCCCAGTGGCTTTTTGTTTTTAAGCACACAGTGATTCTGTATAAAGATGAGGCTTCTCAAGGGGGCCCCGTCAACCAATGTACACTGTCCCTGGAATAATCTACCAGCAGGCACTGTTCTAGGGGCTGAATACAAAGGCACAAATCTCTGCCTTTATGGAGTGTACATTCTAGCGGGGGAAACTGATCATCATACTTATCAGTCTGTGCCTCATTTCCTTCCAACCATGCTTCCTGTATTAACTAATCTAATAAATCCATCCCTGCTGACATCACCCAGACCAGATATCTGAACTTTCATAAATGCAGTTTCTTGGAAACACAATATTTTATGACAGAAGAGGGCCCTGGAGAATGGGGATGTCAGTCCAGTGATCAGACAGTAGACGTTGTCACATCACACCCAGTAGGCAGCTGTCTACACACAGGTAACCAGAAAAGAGATGTGCCTTTGAGATCCAACTGTTGGCTCTCCTGGGAAGCTTCTTGCTTTCCCAAGCCAAGCAAGTGCCTGCTTCTCCCCAACTTGATTAATGTGAATGATGGTAGATATCCTTAGCCATGAAGGTCTGGTTCATCCTAAATAAAATTTAAAAAAATATTCTTGCACTTGAGTAAAGTGACAACACTCTTATCACGTTTATTACATGAATTGTAATTTGTCATAAAATAACCTTTGCATTTTTACTTTAGGATTGAGAGGACTCTGAAATGTAAAATGATGGAATGGCGACCTAAACAGCCAACACGCTGGAATCGACAATGTACTTATATTTTGCAAAAAATCCTTCCTAAGCTAGAACTTGGCACTGGAAGCTTTGTTTTATCTGAAGAAGAGGGTGAATTTGAAAGACTACTCCAATTTTATTGGGTATGTGTATGATTTAGTGCATTAATGACATTTGTTGTATCTATGTTGTTAATTGCTAGGGAATAGTAATCTTCAATATCCCTGAAATGCTTTTTTATCTTGATCCTAGACAACAGATGATAAGGCATTAAAATACATTTATTTGTAGACTAAGCAATTTCAAATAGACTGAACAACTATTACCATGACCACACTGCATGACATTTTCTTGATATGTTTTATGTTATATAGCCACAAAGTTTGGAAAAAGAGATGAAAAAAAAAAGTAACCTGTAAATAAGAAATTGAAAAATGATCTCTGGATGGTAGCAATAGACTAGATTCTCTGTCCTTGGTTCTGGGCAAGAGGACTCCAGGCAAGCTTTGATACCTTTCACATGCAAAATACTCCCAAATTTCTGTATCCAGCCTGGTCTTCTTTCCTGACCTCCTTTCTTATATATTTGCCAACACATTTGTCATCATCTTGGTTGGTTAAAAGGTATCTCAAACTCAACAAGTTTATAAACAGACATGGTGGGCATTGGGTATATTGTTTTTCCCCTACCTACCACCAGCTCTTGACATCCTGTCACTGACTCTTCCCTGTGAATTGATCCAATGGGTTTTTGAAAGCCCCAGCCTCCCAAGAGTGAGATTCTTTCCCCCTACCATCTCATAGACTACACATTTTCTAGGGAAACCCTCTGAGAGAAGAAAAGAAGGAATCTGGCTGGAGTTAAGTACTTAAGCTGTCAAAGAGGGATCTGTGGGTGCTATTTTTTCATGAATAGGGAGGAAGTTGCTTTTATTTGCATTAAAAAAACAGAATTAGTGGTAAACAGATAAGCAAAGCAATATAAACCGAGGTTAATATAAGCCAAGGTTTAAAACGTGTACTTTCTTTGTAAAATTATCTACTTAGTAACACATAATCATAAACCTGAGCTTAATCTTGTGGTTTGGATTCAAACCCCGGTTCAACCATTTATCACTAGTTTTGACCAAGATACCTAACTCCTTTATACTTTCCACCCCACTGGGCAAGATAAACAGGGATAAAAATAGTTAATCTGGTTTGTGGTTCTGGTGAGGATTAAATGAGCTGCTACTTACCACAGCACCCAGCACTTAGCAAGTGTTCAGCAGATGTTTATTATTATTTGTATTACATGTGACAGGCCTTGTGTTAGGCACTGGGGTTATGACAGTAAACAAGACAGATACAATCTTGTGCATTCACAGAAACTACAGGCTAATGAGACAGACCAGAAAACATGTAATTGCAGTCTAGTTTACGAAGTAAGTTAGGGAAGGACAGCATCCTATTGCAACCACATGGGAAGAACACATGAACAGATTTAAGGATCAAGAAAAGCCTCCTGAAGTAAGCAATCTAAGGCTTGAAAGAGGTTTCTGATTGTTATCTGCGTCTTAATAAATAGATAATTTTACATAGGACCATGTACCATAATCCTTTAATCCTGTCACACAGTTGTCACTTAATAAATATAAATTGAATCAGTGTTAAATAAATTCTTCCATAATGCTCACTTAAACACCTCATTTGTAGGACCAAGTAATATTCCCATTGGCAGTTTGCTATTCTAGAAAGGGTGCACGTATTTGGAGTGTTAAGTGTGAGGGCTGTGGTATCTGGCTTTGTTCCTCTCTCCCTGGAAAGTGGGAATTATAGTAGAACCTACCTCATAAGGTTATTTGAGGATTAAATATGTATGTGAAGCATTTAGTACTGTTCCTGGAACACGGTTGATGAAGTTTTGGGGGTGATAGTGGGGTCTGTGGGGTCCACAGGCAACGGCCAAGAAAGAATTCTTGAAGATGTCTTTGGTGCAAAAAGGTTATTTTTTAAAGCATGGGGACAGGACCGGTGGGCAGAAAGAGCTGCCCCAGGAGCAGGAGGAGAGACTGGTTATATACTCTGGAGTGGGGGAGGTAGAGTCCAGGGGAAGTTTCCAGTGAGATTTTCATATGCTAAAGAAGACTCCCGAGATACTGGAGGCCTAGCTATTGTCAAGCTAAGGTTGTTTTTCCCTCTAGCAAAGCATTAACATTAAGATAGCAGGGAGTTCCTGGAGAAACATTTTACTCCGCCAGCCTCAAGTGTTTGTCAATGGGCTGCAGGTTATAAGGAAATTTAATTCTATCTACCATTTTCTTCTGCCTTTGTTTCCCACATCAATTGTAAGCACCTAGAAAATAACATTACTTCGTGACTACCATTTTTTGAGGCTTCTGTAATATTTTTGCATACAATAATTCCTGACTGCCTACATGCCTGTAGCATGGGTTTACATGTTATTCTGTCTTTTGTCTAGGTCACAGGATTTCCTATGCAGATGCCATACACTGATGTGCAGTCAATTATTGACGCTGTGTATCAAACTGGAATTCACTCTTCTGAATTTCCCCAGACAGAATTTGCTCTAGCTGTATACATTCACCCATACCCAAACAACGTATTATCTGTGTGGGTCTATTTGGCTTCCTTAGCTCGACATGAGTGAAAAGGAAGAAGGAAAAAGGAAAAAAAAATATATAGGCCATGGGCCCCTCGCCCAAAGCAATCAAGACTTTTCCGGTACTTTTAGATTTTGCTACTTATCCTCAAATCCAGCCAAATGTGAGCCCGATTGTTGGTTCTCTTATAGAGTTAGGCACCATGGAGACCCACTCCGTGAACCTTTGAGAATGAGTCTAGATGACCTCCCGACCTCTTCAAGGAAAACACTTCAGTCAGTCTGGTGGCCTTCGGTCACTGTCTACAGTGGGTCTTATCATGGGAAAGAAGCAATTCTGGCCCCTACCTTTTAAGCCAGTATTACTCAAATCGTAGGCGTCACACCAGCTCAACTGAATCACCTGGAGACCATTGTTGAAAATGCAAATTCCCACATCCCCCTAAGACCTACTGAATGGGAACCTTTGGGAGTGGAGCTCCAGAACCCACATTATTTTAAACAAGCTCCCTAGATCATTCTGATGACCTGTTAAGAGTGAAAACCCACCTTATAGAATGTTGTCATTACCAAAGTGAGGCTGGTACTTTTGATGCGGGTTCTGATGCAATTCCAGGTAGAAGATACTCAAGTACAAACTCCAGGTCATTGCCTCTCCAAAGATTATTTCACTGGTTAAGAGTAAAAGAAAAATCTGCCAGGTGGGGCTGAGGGCTGAGGTCAACTTCTGGGGCCTCCTAAAAGTTTTCACTTGGCATGCTACTGACTTGAAGTTCTTTCAGCTCCTAGTATTTGGAAGGGCTTCCCAAGAAGCTCTAACATGCTTTCCCGATTCTGTGAGAAAGGGAGAAAGTGGTCTTACCAAATCTCAGGGCTCCTTTTCTCCTTAGTGAGGAGTCCGCCATTTTGCCTCTCGCACTTTTCTGCTGCTTTCCTTTCCCAGCAGTGACTCCAAGGAGGCCTGTCTAGATCCTAGGAGCCTTGAGAGAGAGTGGACAGGGATCTAAGTCAGAAGCGCTGTATTTTCTTCTATTTGGTTGTTCTGTGCTTCACTGAGAAAAGTATTTATACAGTTTACTTAAATGTTGCATAATTACTTACTCTAAAAAAAAAAAAAAAAAAAAAAAAAAAAAAACCAAAGGTACAGATTTCCAAAGGTTGATGAAAGCTTTTTTTGTATGAGGTAAAAACAGGAGAAAGAAAATTCACCTCTCCCACAAGCTGGAGTTTCTTGGGTCACTCTCACAAGCAGAGATGCCCCCAAATACATCCCCAGGGACTCCTCAGTCTGAATTCTGTCCTGCAATGCACCTGCATGGGCTGGTGCCAGGGAAGACCTCATTTATGTTCAGTGATGTTAGTCTTGGACGAAACTTGTGACTACCTAAGTAAAATAGTAGAGATGTGGGTGAAGAGAACGCTTTTTCTCCAAGGTTAAAACCTAAGTGTGTGTATCCCCTAGCTGATCAGAATTTTTGTTCTTATTTGAATGCTCTATGAAGTTTTGTTATTAGCAAGTCAACCATATTGATTGGGGTAGCAATAAATGATGTCTATGGAAAGACAATGTTGACAAAAAAATACTGAACTCACGCAGTTCATTTCTGTGGCACCTTCAGTATTTACATAACTATTTTGTTAGTCATTTATGGTTTTCAAATTGATAGGCCACTTAAGAGTTAGGTAGAAAGTATTCATAGGCAAGCATAGAGAACCCTTCTGTATCATATGGTTTTTTTTGCAGGTGTATGGATTTCTCAACTAAAATTTTTTCCCTAAAATTTTGAAACTGTGTAATGAATGATTTTTTCATTTGTCTATTTTAAAAATATGTGATTTTATTTTAAAATTTTTATTTTAATTCCGGTTAGTTAACATACAGTACTTTATTATTAGTTTCAGGTGTACAATATAGTGATTCGACCCTTCCATATATCACCTGTTGCTCATCATGTCAAGTGCAGTCCTTAATCCCTATCACCTATTTAACCCGTTCCTGCACCCACCTCCCTTCTGCTAACCATCAGTTTGTTCACTATAGTTAAGAATCTGTTTCTTGGTTCGTCTCTCTCTCTCTCTCCACATTGCTCATTTGTTTTGTTTCTTAAATTCCACATATGAGTGAAATCATATGATATTTGTCTTTGTCTGACAGGCCTATTCCACTTGGCAATATACTGTCTAGCTCCATCCGTGTAGTTGCAAAGGGCAAGATTTCATTCTTTTTTTATGGCTGAATAATAAATATTCCATTGCATATATATACCATATCTTCTTTATCCATTCATCAATCAATGGAAACTTGAGCTGCTCTCGTATCATGCCCATTATAAGTAATGCTGCTATAAACATCAGGGTGCATGTATCCCTTTGAATTTGTATTTTTGTATTCTTTGGATAAATACCCAATAGTGTGGTTGCTGGATTGTACGGTAGTTTTTTGTTTTTAAATATTTATTTATTTTTGAGAGGGTGGGAGCAGAGAGGGAGACACAGAATCTGAAGCAGGCTCCAGGCTCTGAGCTGTCAGCCCAGAGCCCAACAAGGGACTCAAAACCACAAACTGCAAAATCATGACCTGACCCAAAGTTGGAGGTTTAACCAACTGAGCCACCCAGGCTCCCTGGGTAGTTCTATTTTTAACTTAAAAATACATGATTTTATTTTTTTATATTAAAAAAATTTTTTTAATGTTTATTTTTGAGAGAGACAGAGAGAGAGAGAGAGAGAGACAGTGTGAGTGGAGGAGAGGCAGGGAGAGAGGAAGACACAGACTCTGAAGCAGGCTTCAGGCTCCGAGCTGTCAGCACAGAGCCCGATGAGGGGCTCGACCTCACAAACTGCAAGATCATGACTTGAGTGGAAGTCAGACACTTAACTGACTGAGCCGCCCAGGTGCCCTCAAAATACGTGATTTTAAATGTAACATAATTTTAAAGTTCTTTAAATCATTCCACAAATAATAATGGAGCCTCCATTATGTACCAGATACTTCAGTATGCGCTGGAGTACAGCAGTGAAAAGACAAAGTTCCTGCCCCTGTGAAGGTTACATTCTTACAGGGAAACAGACCATAAGCAAATAAACAGTAAGTAAGTTAGATAATTTCAGTGTGTACTGAGTGCTGTAAAGAAAGCAAGCAGGATGGCCTGATGGAGAAGGACTTCAGTGGGGACGGAGGGTATAAGTAGAGTAGTCAAGGAAGTCCTCTCTAAAGAGACAATGTTACAGCCAAGATTTAGAAGATGATTTATCGACTAGAATTTCATTTGGTTGCATGGAACAGAAACCTAACCGCAGCCTCCTAACCAAATAGGGATTACTTTTTCACATAACTGCCAAGCCCAAAGGAGGAAGTCCAAGTCCATGCAGTGACTCTGTAATGTCACAGGTGTACTAGTCTTCATCCATCTTTTCGGCATCTCTAAGGAGGCTTCTGTCCACTAGCTTAGTGGCTCTCAAACTTGCTTAAGACCCACCTGAACAGTAGTTGACAAAGATAGCTGGGCCCTACCCTCAGAATTTCTGATTCAGTGGGTCTGGGTTGGGGCCTGGTAATTTGTCATTATAACAAGTTTCCTAGGTGATGCTGAGACTGCTGATCTGAGGACCACACCTTGAAAACCTTTGCTTTAGCCTCACAACTATTTCCATGGCAAAAAAACGCAGAAAGAGAAGGGAAAGTTAAAGGATGCAGCTGGTGTAGCTCTTTTAAAATGCTTCCCAGGAGGCCATGCCTAGTAACTTCCACTTATATCCCAGTGACCAGAATTGTATCATTCCTAGTGATACAGTGGAAGCTGGGAGGTCAGATATTTTAATGAGATATTGCTGTCCCAATAAAATCAGTGTCCTGTTGGTGAGGAGGAAGGGGAGGGTGGCTTATTGGGTAGGCATTTGTGGAGAGGAAGCCAGTCATGCAAACCTATATCAAAAGTATATCAGGCAAAAAAAAAAAAAAAAAAAAAAAAAAAAAAAAAAAAAAAAAAAAGCCTATCAGGCAGAGGAAACTGCAATTGCAAAGTCCTTGTGTCCAGAAAGAGACTTACATAGGGAGGGGACAGTAGAGGCACATAATGTTGGAGAGGTGGTCAAAGATCAGATTACAGAAGTCATGGTAAGGAATTCATATTGTATTTGAAGTACAATAGCAAATCATCAAAAGGTGTTAAGTAACTGAATAAAATATTTTTCTCTTTTATATTTGAGATTATTTCAAAAGTTATTTTTACAGATATTCATTACAAGTGTATAAATGTGATCATATTTTTAAAAATTTTTTTTTCAACGTTTATTTATTTCTGGGACAGAGAGAGACAGAGCATGAACGGGCGAGGGGCAGAGAGAGAGGGAGACACAGAATCGGAAACAGGCTCCAAGCTCTGAGCCATCAGCCCAGAGCCCGACGCGGGGCTCGAACTCACGTACCGCGAGATCATGACCTGGCTGAAGTCGGACGCTCAACCGACTGTGCCACCCAGGCGCCCCTGTGATCATATTTTTTAAATGCAGACTTTTTTTTTTTTGCTTAGGTCCCTGTTCCATTGTTCTCCCCTCCCCTTTCCTCCATCCACATTATTCATCCGGCTCACCTGCTTAGTAACAAAGTATGCATCCTTCCACTTACCATCATTCTCAAATACACATATGGACATATATGTGTGTATGTATATGTTCCTGTTTTATAAAAATGTGACCATATTCTGTATGCTTTTCTATATGTTGCTTTTCTCTTTCAAAAATAGTAGAAAAAGCTCCCAGTAAACAAATTCATTTTTCTCATTAAAGGATCCATAGCATTATTTTTTTTTATTAACTTGTTTTATTTTTTTATTTTTTTAAATTTACATCCAAATTAGTTAGCATATAGTACAACAGTGATTTCAGGAGTAGATTCGTTAGTGTCCCTTACCCATTTAGCCCATCCCCCCTCCCACAACCCCTCCAGTAACCCTCTGTTTGTTCTCCACATTTTTGAGTCTCTTCTGTTTTGTCCCCCTCCCTGTTTTTATATTATTTTTGCTTCCCTTCCCTTATGTTCATCTGTT